TGGTTTCTCTGTCCAACGCAGCCATCGGCCCCACCACCACCACCTTTACCTCCGGTCACCTCCGACAATGTTGTTGGAGGCAGAGGCGGAGGTGAGCGGAGGTGGCGGCGTTGGACAAAGAAACCACCAGCACTGCCGCCGCCACCTCCGACAACATTGCCGGAGGTGGGCGGAGGCGGCGTGTGGCAATAGACGGCGGCAGGCGACGGCTCTGGTCAGGTGAACAAATGGCAAGAAGAAGATGAACATTGTTTTTGCCCTTTCTTGATATTATTTTTAAAAAGGTAACCTATTTTTGAAATTTTTTTAAATATACTACTTTTATTAATATTCGCCCGTAAACAGAATGGTGCAAATGGGTTCGGGCTAACCTGGCCCAAGTTGGACCCCTAGGGCTAGGAGGGCTAGTCGGCTAGGAATATCCCTGTCATTTTGTCATTTTTTCGAACAGTAGAAGGCCATTCAGCTTGATGATGAGTGCAGTCTACTTATCCCTTTAAATAACCATAATACGGAAAACATTCGTACCCTGGATTTTGAGTGCTTGCAGGTTATCAATCATCTTCACTTCTTTGGAATCATTATACCACCCACCATCTCTCTCTCGATCAGATATGCTACCATGACCATCCCCCCTCTTAAGCAGTCATGACAGGACTTTACACGTCTCTCCCTCTCTCCCGTTATGATCATCATCATCACAACAGTCAGTACTACTGTGGTCTGTGGGGGGAATAACCCACGAATCCCTTCGTTTCGTCAACAAGAACCGCATATCTGCACATTCGTTTCAACGACCATCAAATCGAAGATATCACCGTGCTTGAATGATAACTACCACAACTTGATAAATCGAATATATATCTTACCGCAGTTTCAGATTATGATGCGCGCGCATGCGGGTCCTGAGGCTCTAGCGTATGGATGGAAAATCAAGCAGCCTTACCCATCTTTTTCGATGAACAGGTCAGGAGACTCAGGACAGTGTGTGTTTGTGTGCATCGATCAAAGGGGCCCTCTACACCGGCCAAGTGATCGATGAATGTTTCAGCCCGCACAGCCCCCGACATGTCATAGCTTTGTGCTTTTCCAAGTGGCCCAAGAATTTTGATTTTTGAATTTTAAATCATTCTCTCATTATAAAAGAATTCAAAATACAGGGACTGTGTTCATGATGAAGGAAGTGAGGTTTAGACTGAGCAATTTGAGGCTTATGTGAATCATGGGCATGGGTTCCCTTCATTTAACGATCTTCTCATCGATCAGATGACGAACAGTCTGAGCCTACTTCATTATCATGCTTTCGTGTGGCAGGCAAAACACCCACATGCATGGCAGGCTCTTTCAAACATAATAAAATGGCTTTGCAGAAGTGAAGGCTGACAGGGTACATCCTACACCATCAATGTGGTGGACATTGGACAGCCCTCTAAAATAATCCGCCAGGTCTCCAAGTTTGCACTTTCAGTTTCTCTACATCAAAATTCAAAAGGGAGGGTGTCAATGGGGCTGTTTGGAGCCGTGGTTTTGGCAGACTTGGTGATGAATTTTATCACTGTGGCCTGTGGGGTATCACTTTTCTTAGGCTTACTTTAACGTTAATTTGACTGATTTAGGGTTGGTTTGGTTCACCGTCGAGATTCAGGATGTTCTATTTCCATAGTCTATTTAATTGAGACAGGAATTATAATCGGATTTGGAATAAACGAAAATGGGATTTTATCCGCAAGGGAAAGGGAGGAAAATAGCCATTTCCTCAAATGGGTGAATGGCATTCTAACAGAAATGGAAATGAAAATTTGATGCCACCCAACCAATAAACGAAACAGGCCCTCAATGATGGATTTAGACATCTGACATCGTTGGGTTAAATTTGGGCCAGTTGGTTCGACAAGGATGGACCAGTCCACCCCATTGTTATATTTTCTCATTCATACTAGAAGTGGAGAATTAGTTAGCGAATGATTCAAAGTAAATAATATTTTATGGGTTCTGTGGATTTGATTGGAGGGTGGACACAAAAGTCAGCTTGTCATTTTGGTTTTGAACATATTAATCTGAGTTTTGGCTTGTGTATGACCACCTAGCCTACTGCGCTTGCAAATGCACAAAAGCTGTGGTAGTGGCCAATGGCAGTATGTCCTGTTGGCCATTAAACCCTATGAAGCGTTTTTTAATATCGGAGAAATTATTGGTTGGAAGGTTTCTTTCTTTCTTTTTAATACACTTTTCATGTAGACATGGTTATTCGACAAAGCTCCCCAAAAAGATTATTATCATTTCTGGACATTAGCACAACATTCCAATCAGTTACTGACAAAAGCTTCTTACTATTAATCACATTCTTTGCCTTTTTGACCTTTTTCTTCTGTACATTGACCCATAAACAAGCCAATGCCAACAGGAATACATGAGCTGGGCTTGGGTATGAGTAGGGGCGTCAGTTGGACAGGATGTGGTCCACTATGAATCCATTATAGATGGACCAGGTTCAATCCAATTCGATGAATACTCTGTGTCATTTTGGACCAATTTAATTCAATGTATCCAATTTATTGAAATTGGTTCCAATCGGTACTTTTATCTTTTATCAATAAACCAGATGTTGATTCAGGACCCAATCCAATATAAATTCATTACAAATGGATAAGGTCCAATCCAATCAAATGAATACTTCGGACCACAAAGTCTATACTGGTGCAATTCAATTTCTTATTGGTCCATCCAATCCAATCAAAAAAATATTTTGGGCCATAAAGTCTATACCGGTCCAATTCAATAATGCCTTATTGATCTGTCCAAATTGATCTTGATTTGGACGGGATCTAACCCAAAATTGGCCCATTGACAATACAAGGCATGAGATTTGGCAAAAAAGGAAAAAATAAATAAATAATGTTTTGTATTACATATTACAGGGGATTAAAGGGTGGTGACTAGAGCAGGGTTGTCCGTGAAGTCCACTGATCTTACCACGAAGAACCTGCAGTCACACGGGTTCTATCCTGTGCCTCCATGTAACATGTAGACCCATCAACAAGCCAATGACAATGAGCAGACTTGGGCTGGGCTCGGGCATGAGATTTTGCAAAATGCAGATTTTTTTACTTGTTCGATCATATTAACTGTATTTGATAGCTGTTTTATAGGTTGTGGGCCATATGCATTTTATGACTGGCGTGGAACAAAATGATTGATCTCACAGCCCACAAAATAAGAGATCACATTAACACCCTACAAGCGTCCTATATGCACATCTGAGTGTACATTAGAACATCTCCCATATTTATCATTGGGAGATGTTCCCAAAACACAGTTTGTTTGTGTTGTGGGGCGCGCCCTGTGGGGCACCAATGTAAATTCATGAAACAACTATCAAGTTCAGCTAATCCATTCTCACAGTGGAGAGCCTGTAGTCAAGTGGATTTAATCCCATGCCTCTATACGTATAGGGATGCGAAGTGACCATTTTAGATATTGGGTTATTGGCCAAAAAATAAAAGAAAATGAAAGGTGCGCAGTCATCTCAACTACCAAACCATCTCCTGTGAAAATGACCCAAACACCCTAGGGATGATTAGCATTCCTTTGAGAGGCCAATGACGTGTATTAGTTGAGATGACCACAGCATCCTTTCCACATCTTTATAATTGCAGGCTCTCTCATGGTAAAGGCTCAATGGACCTCATATGCACCCTGCTCTGTCCCCATCCTTTAATGCCCTTATAATGTGTAATAAAAGCTTAGTTTGAAAGGAGTATAAATACAAATATGTAGAATGCAAAATCTAGTATTTTGTATGTATTTGTACTCCTTTCAAATTGAACTGAAGGGTTTTGAGAGATTGTTAAGTGTGCATTAAAATGACAGGAAGTGCAACTTGGATGAGTTCGGGTTTGCCTTTTGCCAAAATTTGAATGGACCTGTGCCCAACAAATAATGTAAAATACTAATTGAGGTTAGTGGTGTCAATCAGATTGGATTTGGTCTAATCTGATCCAATCCAATATGAGTTCATTACAAATGGATCAAGTCCAATCCAATCCAGTGAATACTTTAGACTGCTTTGGGCCAATCTAATTCAATGTCTAGACCATTCAATCTGTTCAAATTGGTTTTAATTTAGATTGGTTCCAACTTCCAACCTAAAGTTGGTCTTATCTTATCTTCTATCAATAAATCGGATCTTGGTTCAATCCAACCCAATCAAATATGAATCCATTATGGATGGACCAGATTCAGGTCCAATCCAATAAATACTTTCAACTGGATTGGTCCAATTCAATGTGCCTTATTGATCCATCCAATCCATCCAAATCAAAATCAATTTGGACGGGTCCAACCCAAAACCCATCAATTGACACCCCTAATAACCCAAGTTGCACCCGGTAGACAGTAGGCACTTGCCGGACCCATCCAAATGAGGTGGTTGAACCACTCATACACACAACAGAACCTTAGGTGAGAGCACGTTCATGGAAGACGGATGACCTCAATGACTTTTAGGCTGAATTTGGCATTTCTTATTTTAAGGACTTATCTCTTTTTTGCCCAAAAAATGCCCATCATCGTCACTCAGATTTTAACAGCAGATAAAATCATGCCAAATTTAACATTAATTCTCGTATGCTTAAAAATCAGCTACTCCCGATGGTGTAGGTCTGGGCTAAAACCGTGAATCATAGCTCTCGATATAGAAGTGACCTCACCTTGAATCGGATGAAATACCATAAAGTGGAGTCAAAGCAATGCATCAAACGCCATGATTTCAGGGTTTTAGCCCTGCACTACTCCAAGTGCAGTAGCTGATTTCTTCTCGTTCTCGTATGCCTTTCTTCGAACTTAGGTGGGAGTACCGAAGAGCAAAATGTGTTTGCATTTACAAGCCGGCCATCTTCCTCTTGCCTGGTACTTCAAGAGAAAGTTTGGCGCGAACTATAACCGTTTTACGGAACTCGCGACTAAAACCATTGGACAAGACCGTTATTTCTTGGACGAAAATGATAACCGAGTACGGCAGAGCAGGAGAAGTATCGAAAGCAATGAAACTGTTCGAAGAAATGCCACAAAGGAATCAAGTCTCCTGGAACGCAATGTTGACGGTCCTCCTTGAATCCGATTGTTTGGATGCCGCGCGAAGATTGTTTCGTGAGATGCCCCAGAGAAACTCAGTATCTTATACATCAATTTTGACGGGTTTGTCGAGGTCAGGTTTTGTCTCTGAAGCACGCAAGATCTTTGACTCTATCCCCATTACTGAACAAAATGTCTTCTCATGGACAGCCATGATATCCTGTTACTCCCATAATTTCCAGCCTTGGCATTCCTTGAAGCTTTTTTCCATCCTTTATGGTGAATTTTTCTCGTTTAAGATACTGCCAAACTCCCATACTTTTAGTATTCTTCTAAAATCGTGTGTGGACGTGCAATCGCTTGTAATGGCAATTCAGATCCATGCTATGGCATTAAAGTTTTTAGACATGGAACATGAGAAAACGGTTTTTGTCAACAATTCATTGATAGATCTATACTCCAAATTAGGAGGTTTAGCCGATGCAGAGAAGATTTTCAATGGGCTCAAGTGGAAAGAGTTGAGTTCGTGGAATGTTATGATGGCAGCTTATGCACACCACCTCTTGATTGATAAAGCTCTTGAAATTTTCAACTCCACGAAGAATAGGGATATTCTTTCGTGGAATATTATGATGTCGGGGTTTGCTGAAAGTGGTCGTCATACTGAAGCTGTGGAATTGTTTCTCCAGTTATTGAGATTGCAGAAGCCAGAAACAACGCCCAATCCCTCTACTTACACAATTGTTCTAACTGTTTGTGCCACCCGTTGCATGCTTGAATGGGGAAGACAGATTCATACTTGCACTGCCAAGTGTGGGTTGTATTTTAGTAATGTCTATATAGGAAATTCACTGATCAACATGTACGCAAGGTGCAGTTTGGTGGAAGAATCAGAACAAGTGTTTGATGAGATTTACTGGAAAGACACAGTTTCATGGAACTCACTGGTATTGGGTCTTGGGCAGAATGGGTATTGTAGAAAAGCATTGGAGGTTGCAGAAAAAGCATTGAAGTTGGGAGTATATAACTACAATACATTCATCGGTTTGCTAACTAGTTGTAGTCATGGAGGTTTAGTTGAGGAAGGGTTAGAATATTTTAGCTCTATGAGTAAAAAATTTGGTATAGACCCAAGTTTAGATCATTACATCTGTGTGATTGATATGCTTGGAAGGGCTGGTAGAATAGTTGAGGCACATAATCTCTTGCTTGAGATGCCTTTTGCTCCAAACTCCATAGCGTGGGCAGCTCTTCTTAGTGCATGTGTGATCCATGGAAATGAAGAGGTGGGTGAAATAGCAGCAAGAGAGCTCAGGCATTTGGAGCCTGGTAATGCAGCCAGTTATGTAATGTTGGCAAAGATATACATTAGAACAGGTAAATTGGAGCAATCCAGGAGGCTTGTTGGATTTATGGATGAAATTGGCTTGAGAAAGAAACAGGGTTTTAGTTGTATTATTTAGATACTGTGTATCATATCAATAAGTTCAAATTCTTACTGTTCCCCATATCTCAATAGATATTACAAGACTATTGACAGTACAGTTTTAGTTCAGGCCAAGTCCTTACAATTTTCCATGCCATTACATGAAATTATAAATTTCCATAAACACTCAACATGGCTTTAGCCAAACCTTCCCTTCACAATTTGGATTAGGGTATATTTTCTTGTCAAAGATGAAGGATGGGAATTATCAAGGTAAACTTAATGGGAGTTGGATTCTCAAGGTGTGCATCAAGAGGCAGCTGATAGAGGGTAGCATCACCTGAGAGAAATCACACTACACTTGTCATGCTAGGCTTGTAATGTAGTACAGGATGAGAACAAAGCACAAGGGATACAAAATTCTGTTTCTTCTTAGTCCTAGAAACCTGACATGGGATGGATGGTTATCATGATCTCTCTGGATTTAACTCTTAGCCCATCCTAGTAATCCCAACTCTATTCATTCTTCTCATGCTCAATGGGCCTCTTCTACAAGCAAACTCTAGCATATTTGTGTTGCTTGTGGGTTTCCCTTCACTAACAAGTTCAGGTGCAAGGAGCAAGGTAGCTAAGAGTCCCCACAATATGGGTTCTTTGATGATTGATGGCATGATCGTTTGCTCGGGTGAAGCCAAAGTCCCCCACTTTAACATTGAGGTCTGCATCTATGAGGACCTTGCTTGGCTTCATATCCTCATGGACTACCATGTGGATGCATTCTTGCATAGCACATATGGGCTTGGGTGATGCCAACCGGGATCCTACATTTTAGTTCCTAATTGAATTGTCAATGTTTCCATTTGGGCCATAATTATCATTAACATGTTCATTATTCCTTCTCGGTCAGCCATGCAATTGCACCAAATTCCGATGTCTAAGCATTCCTACGTTTTGTTATTTCTTCAACTAATTCCATCAATACCTGCTTTGTATCCTGAGCTAACCATTTGATTTCCACTTTAAGACCCCTATTTGGAGATATTCCTCTTTTCCCAATCAGATTCTCTCACCAATCCGCTTTTGGTAGCTAAGACCAAGAGCTAGGAGTATTCAAATCTGCTTGACTTGAACTTTCAAATCTTCCTGAACATTGTTGTGATGCTTTTCTTTTTTAATTGATTGGTGTTTTTCCATGTACTTTTTCCATTTCTCCAGCTGAAATGCACCTGAAATCACAAAGAAAATCAGAGCAAGACTTGAGCAACTGATGGCAAAATGATCTTCATCGTGGAGCCCTTCTTATGTACCACTTCTCTGTGATTATTATTTTGACAGTGTTCAAATCCTGCAGGAAGTTCTGCATACAAGACCCTCAAGACCAATGGAAAGTGGCCATGTCCTTTACACATAGTCAGACAAGCTAATCCAATCACATGGTCTCCTTGTTTACCACTTGATGTAGGACCAGCTCAGTTCTAATCCTTAGAGAATGTTAAATGGTCTTTTTTATCAGAGTTTTATGGTTGTAATGGCTCCTCGAAGGAATAATAAAGAAAGTAGGGAGAAAAAGAAGAGAGAAAATACCTGGAATCACTCACAGGGTGCCTAGAATCACTCTAGGGCATGGGAATCACTCACCATAACTAGCATAAGCTGATGAAAACTCAATATAATTCATTGCTTTTGTGAAAAACGTCCATACATATTTATAGAGTATAAGCTCGTAATAATCCTATTAGTCAAACCGTTAGACTTAATAATCCTAGTAAGACTCAAACTAAGTTGTCATATCCTATTTCAATTCAAAGAAGACTCAATAACTCTAATCCTACTTATGCAATGACTCTGAAATTTTAAACATAAACAAACTATAACAAGACAATCAAACCCTATTATTGGATTCTACAGAAAAATTATAAAATGGCAAAAATACCCTTACTGTTCAATTTAATCCTAATCCTAAGTACCATCATTATGCCATATCAAGACCTGTTGTAAAGCCTTCTTCTTTCTAGAATAAGTCTTCATAGGTGCTAATCGATTCCTATCATCTCTCCTCGGCTTAAGAGAAGTCAACCCCGATGAGTTAAAAGCATGGTACTTTTCATAAAGATCTAGGTTGAGACGATGAATGCCTTCAGTAGTGATCCAAGAGCTCTCAGACATAGGCTTGCCTTTTCCGCTTGACAAGGAAATTCTAATACCTTCCTATAGCACTAGATATTATTTCCTCATCTAAAACATCTTCTGGAATGCCATTTGGAGTTGCAATAGTTGGCAATTTAGGTATAGGAGTCTTAAAAGAATCCACATGTCCATGGTAAGGAGTCAAAGTCCTCAACATTGAAGATAAGACTAATTCCCATGTCATCTAGCAACTTTAGAACATATGCATTAGAAATTATCTTTTTGATGGTTTTGTAAGGACCGACAATCTTTGAGTGGAGCTTCTTGTATACACCTTTAGGAAGACGTTCTAGTCGCATACGTACCATAACCATCTCCCTCCAACCATCGATGAATATCAGCTCTAGCCTTGTATAAATCATTACTCAATGCAATTTTTTTCTTGATATCATCATGTATCTCTCTTATGTGCCTAGAAAATGCTTCTGCTTCAATGCTAGTACGTGTATTTGGTGGTAAGGTAACTAAGTCAATTCACCGTTTAGGTTGAATACCAATCACCACTTCAAATGGACTTCTTCCTTTGTATCTATTTACTAAGCTATTATAAGTAAACTCAACTATTGGAAACACTAGATCCCATCTAGATGTATGATCACCAACTAGACACCATAAAAGATCTCCCAAGTTTCTATTTACTACCTCAGTCTGACCATCTGTTTGGGGGTGAAACAATGTAGAGAATTTCAGTTGAGTATTGAATAGTTTCCGAAGTGCCTTCCAAAAATAACTCATAAACTTGGCATCCCAATTTGATACAACAATAGAAGGTACTCCATGAAGTCAAACCACTACTTTAAAAAATATAGTAGCAATATGTGAAGCATCATGCGTTTTGTTACAAGGTAAGAAATGAGCCATCTTAGAGAAACAATCCACCACAACATAGATTGTATTGTGACCCCTAGCAATCTTGGGCAATCCAAGGACAAAATCCATGGATAGATCTTGCCATGGTTCATGAGGAACAAGTAGTGGTGTATATAGCCCGCTATTCTACTTTTGTCCTTTGGCAAGTTGGCATGTGCTGCATTGCTTTATTATACAAACAACATCATTCTTCAAACTAGGCTAATAAAACTTATCTTCCACTATAGCAATGGACTTATCTCTACCAAAATGACTTGCTACACCTCTAGCATGTAACTCTCAAATAACAAAATCCCGTAAAGAGGTATTTGGTAGATATAAGCGGGTATCATAAAGCAGATAACCATATGCAATGAAAAAGAAGGATACTCATCTTGCTTCCCAGCTTATAAGTCAGTAGAGATGATGCTAAAATCCTTACAACCAGCATAATCTTGCTTCAGTTGATCAAAACCAATGGCTTGGCCATTCATGGAATGAAGTATGTAAGCCATCTAACTTGGTGCTTAAGAACAAAGGTTTATTCTTGAAGGAATGAAACCCACTTCCCATGCCTATAATTTAGTTTCTTTTGGGAAATTCAAGTACTTTAAAGCTTCATGATTTGAATAGAGAACAAACTCCATGAATATTAAGTAGTGTCACCAATGTCGTAGAACTTGCACTACTGCATATTGTCATAAGTTGAATATTTTTGCTTGGCTTTATTTAGTTTATGAAATGCAATGGAATGGCATTCTTGCATGAGAACCCCTCCAATTCTTACACCGGATGCATTATATGCCACTTCAAAGCCTTTAGAAAAGTTTGGAGATTGTAAAATAGGCGTCTGTCATTTTCTTGATAGTCTCAAATGCCTTTATTGCTACCTTGTTCCAATTAAATTCACCTATTTTCATTGCATCTATAATTAAAGCCATGATAGTGTCGAGCCCCTTAATAAATCTTCTATAAAAAGTTGATAAGCCGTGGAAGCTTCTAACTTTTTTGAAGAATGGTAGGTAAAGGCCATTCTAAGATAGGCTTTACTTTTTCGGGTTCAACACTTATGCCTTCAACAGAAACAACAAACCCCAAAAATATAACTTTGGGTGACATGAAAGAGAATTTCTCTAAGTTGATGTAGAGTTTCTCTTGGCGTAAAACTCTCATCACTTGACATAGATGATCAATATGCTCTTCTGGACTATGGCTATATATATAAAAATATCACCAAAATAAACAACTAGGAAATGACCAATGAAGGATCAAAGTACCTAGGTCATCATACTTATGAAAGTATTAGGGGCATTGGTTAGTCCAAATGGCACAACTAACCACTCGTATAAGCCATCTTTTGTCTTAAATGTTGTCTTCCACTCATCACCAAGCTTAACCCATATGTTGTCTTCAGCTAAGTCATCACCCAGGTCACCTACCGCTTATGCTTTCTTCATAAATGTTATTAAGGCTTTTGGTGGGACATTGGTAAGCTATATGGCCCTTTCCTCCACATCTAAAGAAACTAGAATCAAGCTGTTTTTTTTTTTTTTTGAGTAACACCACTAGCAACTGATTTACTCTTATAGTCAGCCCCTTGATAAGGTCTAGACCCACTAGGCTTATTAAAGTTGGAATTAGAATATGATGGCCTAGAAGACTTTTCCCCATTAGCTTGCTTATGAGCTACATACTCTTTGGCTTGTGATACAAATTGCCTTATATTTGTTTACTTTAAACTCTTTTCAATTTTGATAGCAACTTCATAGGTATCCTCTAAGTCAAAGACTTAAGTAGTTACCATCTCTTTCTTGATTTTAGACCTTAGTCCATTCTTGAATCGAGTCAATTTTTGCCTCTCACTTTTAGTAGTATCACATCTAATAGATAATTCATCAAACTTACGCATGTACTCAACTACAAATAACGTACCTTGTCCAAGGTTAGTCAATTCCTCATATAACTCATCTTGGAATTCCATTAGGAGGTACTTGTCTCTCA